AAACTTCATTAAAAATTTTTAAATAATTAATAACTACTAGAAATTTTTATATTTAAAATTATCTTTTATTATAACTTTTTATATTAATACACAAAATATAAAAATAATTATTTTATGGATAGGTTAGCTATAAAATACACTTAATTGAATGTAGAGATATATAAAATTGAATGTTACATTAATGCCAATAATTAATATATTTTAAATATATACTTATAATAAAAAATCTTTTATTAACATTCATGTCATTTGTAAATTTATAAAAGAGTATATGTAATATAATGTAAAAAAAATCATTACAACTATCTATTAGATAATATATGATAATAATATGATATAAATATTCTAATGTATATACAGTATATTTGTAATAAATCTGTATTTAAAAATATCTATAATATAGAAACTTTGTGGAAATATTGTCTGTAATATAAAATTCAATACACTTTAGGGCCTATGAATTGATAGTTTAAAAGATAGTTATAAACTTTTTTTTTTTATAAAATATACTGTATATTATATACAGTATATTGTACTCCAATGGCAACCAAAAAATATAAGACAAACATATAGTGTGTGTGAACTGATACAATCTGTGGTATAAATCTACACTACAAACAACAAAGTGATGTAATAAATCGCAATTATATTATGATTATAATTATTTTTATGCTTTCATGTTATGACAGGCAAATAATCATAACTAATATTATATATATTATACGATAATATTAATAATGTCTCCTAATATTGTATTTTTCGTTTGCTTTGCTTTTGCCATAAGCAGTAAAGAGAGAGAGAGAGAGAGAGAGAGAGAGAGAGAGAGAGAGAGAGAAATTTAGTAAAAATATCATCAAAATATACATAGAGTTATAGCAAGTATGAGACTTACAAAAAATATTAGACAATAGATGTATCCATACGACAGGTGCTGTCTTCCCAAATAGACTATTGTGAATATATATATATACAGTATCTACTCTTAATCTATCTCCCGGTGCTAAAAACATAAGCTTATACTACATGTATGATAGAGTAATACCAAAATACATATGATAAATGTTATATACTGTTTTATATAAAGTTTATATATAAAAAATTAACTAAATTAATGTTATTTTATATGCCGTGGCATAACTGTAACAGTAGTTTTTGTCTTTCATTTTTTTTTCAATGAAAAATCATTTTATTGCTAATGTTTTGATTGTTGGCGACACAAACAATCTATCATTGAATATTGTTTTTAGTATAGTATATATATATAATATTAATAGTAATAGTAATCATGATTTTTTTTCTATTGTATAATATATTTTATGTAATAATTTTTATATATTTTTTTTATTTATTAGTAGTATTATTGTTACTAATGTATTATTATTTCTAATAATTAATATAATAGTATGAATTCAAAGTACATTATACTCTATTTCTATTAATTTCTATTTGTATTTTTAGTATAAATTATTAAATAATATTTATATCTTTATATAGAATAAGTAGAAACTTTTATAAATAAAAGTTATATAATGATGTTTTGATTTTTTTTCTATCTATTGTAACTGTATTTATACTTTATTTTAACAAATCTAATACAGTATATATTAGGGATATTTTGAATATCACAATAATATATATAAATTATTTTTTAACAAAATGTTTTGTATTGTTTTTATAATAGTTTAAAGATATATGTATAACATAATGATCTTATATTGTAACGTTGTACAACAAATAATTATATTAATATAAATAACCATCTATTTAAATGTCAAGATATAATCAGTAGGTTTTGTAAAATGTATTTTAAGTTCAAAAATTATAATAGACAAACATATTTAAATTATCTATATTATTTATAAATACTATAGTTATATACTACAGTTATATCATATTGATAATGAGTCTTAATATTGTTTTTATTTGATAAAACAATAATATTTTCAGTTATCAAAAAAATGTGTGATAATATTAATATTATTGAAAATATTGTAATAAATTTTTCATAGTTTTTAATTAAACATTTCACGCCATAAAAATTTACATTAAACATTAAAATTTAATTAATTATTTTATTGAATTTGCATTGACTTTACGATAGAAAAATGTAATTATGATATATGCAAATTAACAAAAATAAGTTTTATTATTTTTTTTGATGGATCCTAAATTGAAATAATAGTATAATTATTTTATGTATAATAAGTACTAATTTAGAATTTTATAAATAAATTAATTGTTTATAAATTATAGTATTTTTTATTGAATTTATATGATAACAAAATCATTAAATAAATTTTGAAATAAGTTTGTTGATTAATGTTATTTGTTATTCAAATTTATTAATTATTGTACTTAAATAATCTTAATAATGCAAAAAATAATAATAATTCAATTAATATTGTTATTTTTAGTTATAAAAAATATTTATAAAGTTTTACAAATATGTATATATATTTATATGTATTTTCTAATAATATATAGGCTTAAGTTTACTCAACACTTTAACTTATATTAAAGTTATAGTTTTTGAAACCAATGGCCAAAAGTGTTTGTTTGTCGGCAAAAATCAACAAAAAATAAAATATAGTTTTGATTAGTTTTCTTAATATTAAACAATTATATTATTATCACGTAATGCAAAGACAATGTAATCGCCAAAAATTGTCTTCATATTTATAACTAAATTCAATGAAAATTAAATGCAAATATTGCAAACATACAGTAAAAATAATTATTTAGTAAATTAAATAGCAAACAAAGTTATAATTAAAACTATACTATATATGAATGTTTATATTAAATTAATTCATCTACAATTTACCTAGATAAACATGAATTAAATGTTAATGTTAGAAACTTTAATAATTATATTTATATAAAAAAATTATCACAATAATTGTAAATATACTGAGGTTAGAGTGTATTTGTTTTGAGACACACATATATAATATTATAATAAATGGTTTCGCATCAATCACTATACATATGTGAAGTGGTGGCCAAAAGAAAAACATTGAAAACATAAATTTCAATATTTATTTTGGCATTTGTTTGAACAATGAAAAAGTTGGAAAATAAAATACAAAACAATAACACTGTAAAAAAACTGCTCTCAAAAAGATATTGAAATATAAATATATTGCGATTATATTTATTATTTGACATATTTTTCGTATCATCTCTCTCTCTCTCTCTCTCTCTCTCTCTCTCTCTCTCTCTCTTTCAGAATCATTGAAATAAAATTTGAGATAAAACTCATAAATAAAACATATATGACTTTAAAATATTTCTAAACAATACAAAACAAATTGCTAAAAGATCACTATTGGAATAAATATAAGCAAGGTCATTTATTTAAAAAAATGTAGACTTTTTGTTAGTCAAAAAAACAAACAAACAAAAATTGATTATCTATTTATATTAAAGTTAGATAATTTTAAAATATACATTTAAATACAAATTAATGATAAAAGTTTATAATTACAAAATTACATTATCTTATTAAATTTTTATATATTACTATAGGTGAGAAATAATAAAATTTATTTTAGTTTATCAATAATATTATATATATTTATAATCTAATAAATATAATAAGATAATTATTATATATCATCTATATTTATATAACATATGATTAGAAATGTGCTAAAAATAAATAAATTCTTAAGATTGTATACATTAATATCTTTTAATTTATTATTAGATTGCATATACATTATAACAAACCTATAATAATAATAAATAATAATAATAATTATCTTACTTTTTTTAAATGTCTTATGATTTGTATTTTATTTTATATACAATAGGAGTATCACATGAGTGTCATTAAATCATATGAGTGCTCACATGAATCACATATAGTATACTATTCATTAAATTGTATAAATCTATTAATTGATTGACAAAATAAAAAATATTCAATTAATTAATTGTTTGAATAAATAATACAACAATAATTTTAATAATAATTATAAAACTAAAATTTCAATTAATTTATAGATACTAGTTTTTAGATAAACTTTAAGTTATAAATTTATACTAAAATGTATTATATGTTAAAAGTTTACTACATTAGAAACGACATTTTTTACAAATTATTTTTGTTAAATTTATGTTAATAAATAAAACTACAAACAGATTATTAAAAATTAATAACCCTTGTTAATTTATTTATTTAAATAAATTAAAAATAAAACAAAATTTACTTTATTAATAATAGTATTTGTTTATTTTTAATTAATTTAATTTCTAAAAATAAAATTGTAAATTTAATGTACAGTTTTATTATGATGTTATGCAGTGAAGAGGCTTTATAGTGATAGACTACAACAACTACAACATTAGTATTGAATTTTTATAACTAATCGGAAAACATATTGTAATAATACTGTATATCTATTGAAATAAATATTTAAAACTTTATTAACTATTGTATTTATATAGTTAGTAATTAGATAATTATACTGAGTTCATTAATAATTTGTATTACTATTAATTTTATAAAATTATTATTATATATATTTTTTTGTAAATTTGTTAATATAAACAATATAAAAATATTAGATGAAATTAAAATATAAAAATTATTTTGATTAAGTTAAGCTCTAGTGTAGTAAATAGTAGTCATCAACATATCATATGAGTCAGTCAGTGCTGGAGGACAGACACCATTGTAAGTAATCATTGCTATACTGTATTGTGATGTACAGTATTTATATGGACAGAGAGAGAGAGAGAGAGAGAGAGAGAGAGAGAGAGAGAGAGAGAGAGAGAGAGAGAGAGAGAGAGAGAGTAAGAGTAAGGGAGAGTTAGTGTTGGTAACGACGGCGCAGATCTAATGGATTGCATGCCATACATACAGCCTTTGACGGCACACATACATGTGATGTATGTATTTGTGAAGCATTATGGAGTGCTAACCACCGGAAAAAAGCACTGACACACAGCCTCACACACACACATACACTGAAAGGATACGATACATACCATACGGCACTGTTATATAACTGTTCATTGGCTAACAATATCTGCGACGGCTCAGAGAAGTCAACATTTAATGCTATTGTGATGATCATTATGTTAATATCCATCGACACCACCACTACCACCACCACTGATGGTACAGGAGTTTTTAGGCTAACCGGGCGATCACTTCATTATCTCATTCAATACCATATCACTCATATCGCATACCATACCATATCATATCATACCATAGATAGATAGACACATAGGTCACAGTTTATAAAGCAAAAGTGAATGAGTTGTCATTTATTAGACAACTTTTTTTATTGATATTAATATTAAACTCATTTATGTTAATAAGTGATCCGATAATAACTATTTGTTTTAATAGTTGAATAAAATATTTTTAAAAATTTATTATTTAAGATTATAAATTATATTGAAATTAATCACTTAAATTTAAAATCTTTTTTTATTGGATAAATGTGATTTTAATTTAATAAGACATTTGCATATACTAATGTACAATAATAATAAAAATAATAAATAACTATTTAAAGCAGTTTTAATTGTCAATAAATTCCTTTTATAACTTTAAACAATTGCATAGAATTTAATAATAAATTTAATTAAGATTTATTAGTTAAAAACATCAAAATAAATGATGATAAGATTTTTTTAAATGTAATCTATTGAAAAAAAAAGATTATATTAATGTACACTGGTATGCGATACATACATGAGCGCAATACTACACACACACAAACACACAGTTTGTGAATACAAACGATTGTATCAATGCATTTATTTGATGCTGTAATCCAATTAAGAGCTGATTTTTGACTAAATTATTGTTTTGTGTCTATATATCTCTCTTTCTAAAAGCATATATAAATTTTTTGATGCTTTTTTATGTGCAGAGATCATACTGTACTCTAACTTTATGTTGTTATAAATTTTGTGTGCAACAAGAAAATTGGTGATTAAACCTTATATATCGAGTAGTTTATATGCAATACTAGTGCACATACATTGAGAGCACTGGAAGAGGCCAGTGCTGGAGAATCTGGTGCCGAATGGCAGTCATATAATCTATTATTCAAAAATGATTGCACTGTACTCTCCACTCACGTCAACGCTTCTACACCTATGGATAGTGAATGCGCGCAATTGATTACACAACTACCTACTAGTGCCCAGAGATCGAGATACTGATATACTTTATATATATACTACTTGTGCTTTATTATACATATAAACCAATTCATATCTCTATTCTTTTAAAAATACTCAATCAGACATCAAATAACTTGTGGTGAACTCACATACAAGTTCTCGACATTGTTTGACTAACGTTCCTATCAAACAACTAGTCTTTCTTTTTCTCATCAGTTTTAGTATAATTAACTTCTTATTCTTCTTCTCGATGGCCAAACTATAGTAATCTTCAGTCGAAGATTAAAAAAAACTTTTCTTTTGCCAAAAATAATAATAAACAAAATTATTATTGAATGTCTTCAACAATAAATTACAAACAATTTTTGTTGGAAAAGTTATCGCAATATGAGAGTCGCTTAAACCAATTGAACGCCACTTCCCTGTCATCACTGCAGACATCATTGACGACACCGTTGTCTTCATCGTCGTCTTCTTCAAAGACTTTACCAACAGATTTGTCTTCAACTACAACAACAACAGCAAAAACAACGACAGCGAGTAAACTATCGATTGTCGCGCCAAAGGGTATGGGAAGCGCTTTCCGTGTCGTCACACCAAAGACTAATCGCATTGAAATCGGAGGTAATTAGTGATATAATTATTATTTTTTATATTAGTAGTATTATTATACTATGTTTTCATTTAAGTTTATTGATTTAAAAATCCAATGCTTTGTTTTAGTTTCTATTATAATGCAAATGAAATTAATTAAATTTAAATCATTGTAACAATAATTACAAAAATATCTGTGTTTTATATAATAGATAATACTATTACATAAGTGTCGAGAATTTTTTTCACAGTTTAGTTGTTATCGATAAAAATAACACACAAATTGATTTTTTCTAAATTTACTATTAATTTACTATTTCTATACAATTATCTATCAATAGGTAAATCTCCTGTTTGTGTGAGTGTGTGTGTGTGTGTGTGTGTGTGTGTGTGTGTGTGTGTGTGTGTGTGTGTGTGTGTGTGTTGTGAATAAAATAAAATCACATTTTTGTCTTTTATTTTTATATTTCACTAAAAGTATGAATCAATAATTATTTGCAACTAATAATAGTAATTATATTAAATGAAATCTAAATGTATAACTTATATAATACAAAAAAACAGATAGTAGAAATACTAAATTATATTTTTGAACAATATATATATAAAAAAAAGTTTTGAAAGCATTATTTACTATTATTCAATTGACATAAAATAGAAAAAAATAAAAAATCTTATTAAAAAAAGATAGTATCTATAAATATTGCAAAATATTAAAGACAAATATAAAAATCAATTTCATTTTTTTCACTAATCGTTTAAATCACAAAATCGTTGATCGATTATTAATGAAACAAAAAGCGTGAAACAAACAAATATATGATTGTATCAAATAAAAGTAAACAGCATTTATGATACCAAAAAACTTGGTGCTATAAATGCTATAAATTTATCCGATGATTAGTTTATGATTTATTTTTCAAGTGACTAATCACTTGATATAAGCCAAAGATAAGGACCTAATGTGTCAGTGATATAATTTATATATATTACTGATAATATACAGTAGTAGTCTACTGTTTATCGAGAGGTTTATTAAAAAATAAATTATGATATTTAGTTGAGTCCCTGTGCTATCAGTTTAATCATTGAATAATAACATTAGGCGTCAGCAAAGATTAAGTGATTGCTATCTCTTGTATATTAGTTTTATATTATATACTTTACTGTATTATTAAATAACATTATAGGCTATGAGGTGTTTGTCTAATAATTTAGTGCTTAAACTCATATATAAATATTATAATATAGAGATACTGTACTGATATATGTAATATATTGTGTATATAACATAAATTTATATAATAATTATTTACATATAGATATATATATATTTTATAATCAAGTTATCACTTCACTTGACTGAGTGTTGCCTTTTAATACTAGTCATTAATATCATATATAAATTTATATATCATTATTTTAAGTCATTATTGTTAGGATTTATAATAAAAGTTATTAACAATTAAATGCACTGCAAATAATAATCATATACACAGTAGTACAGTACTATATGTAAAATATATATACTATAACTATTTTGCCAATAATATTATATTATATATATTTTTTTGTAATAGTTGGTTATTATTTGTATAATTTATTATAATAATATTAGCTAATCGTTTGGGCAAAAAATATGACTTAATTTCTATGAGTTTTCTCTTAGGAAGGGATGACTCCAGACTCCTACCTAACTGTGTCTGTGTTTACTCATAGATTATTAGGCATTAACACACACAATGTCAATAGGCATATGCAATGATAATAATAATAATAATAATAATAATAACGGCAAATATCAATAGCCAAGGCCCCCATAACCAAAAAAAAGCAAAAGGGATTAAGCAATAAAACATACAGTCATATACAGAGACAGATACACCAGTGCTTTACGTTTATAATTATATTATATGACGAGTGGTTAACCAATTTCTTGAGCTTAAGTTTGAGTGAAATAAAATTATTTATTAAATATATAATACATTAATATAGTATTTATGATATAAACAGCTTATATATAAATATCATGATATTTATTGAGAGATTCATTTGATTGCTAGGGTTATTATATCATCATATGATTGCCTAATATTTGTACGACAAATAAAAGCCCTTAATTTGTATTAATAATAGCAGTTAAGGTTTAAAGTCATGTAAGCAACTAAATGATTGTGTTTATAAATATTATAACAATTTATGGGATAAATTGACTCAAAAAATATTTTGTTTTATATCATATATATTGCATATAATAAAAAAAAAAACTTTTATATTATATTATTACTTACTTGTATGATTTTTATTGACAATTTCAGGTATTATATTCAATAGTTTTAACAAAATCAATAATAAATAAATTGCAATAATCTAATAGCCATTTAATATATACCTATAATACTGTAATTTATTGTAAATATGTCTCATTATATCTGTATTTAGTAAATAATGCATTTTTATTGACAAATAAAAATAACTGCTTTAATGTGTGTACCATAAAAAAAGTTACAAAAATTACTATAAAAAATTTGTTTGTTTTTAAATGATAAGATTATTATAATTATTTAATAGCTATATTTAAGTTAATATATTTGATCGCTAATTTGCTTTTTAAAATATTGCAAAAAAATAAACATAGAAACTAATAGCATTTAAACACAATATACTATTACAGTATATACTGTACTTAAGTAATAATAGTAATACTGTATCGATAAAATATAGCAATGAATTTGAAAACATATTGTGTTTTAAAGTTTTTTTTTGGAAACAATAAACATTAAAATTTTATAACGATATTAGCACTTGAGGTATTAGTATTTAAATATTCAAATTTATTGATATAATATAATAAAAACTTAAAATAAATTATTTTATCTATAATTCTTACTCAATTTTATCTAAAAAATAAACATATTATGAACTAATAAAACTTTATTGAAGAGAAATTTCTGATATACCAATAGTAGTTGAAAAATAATATAACAATAAGTTTATAAAAGCAAAATACATTATAATATAAAGTTATATCAAACTAAAGTAGATTTTATATAAATATATCATTGCATGCATACAATAAATATATATATATATTGTTATGATATAACAATTAACAATATATTAGTACTGTATATAAAAAATTATATCTAAATCATTTTCTATTTTCAAATGGTGTAAAATATAACACATTTTTCAAAATAATTTTTAAATAAATTGTTATATTATTGTTCACAAACACATATGCATTTAAAATACTGTATATAATATAATGGAAAAAACTATTATTACAGTATATTATTGCAGAAATAATAATTACTAACGCAATGATAATTGAATTTTAATATAATTTATTTTACATTAGATATTTTACTTATCTATTACAAGTAAGATTGCTAATGATTTTTAGTCATCACATTTAAAAAGTATTTCAGCAATATTATAATTTTATTATCAATAAAAATTAATGTATTTATTAATATACATACTGTATATATATATATATATATATATATATTTAAGAATTATATTTTTAATATTTTTTGTATTTTACTAAAAATTTTATCCGATTAGTTTTATATTGTATATATTAAATTTAATGTTATATAAAAATCAATAAAATCTCTGTTATTATAAGTGATTCATTAATTCTCAGTACTTTTTATATCATCACTAATCTTGATGTCTGTGCAAAATATAATACTTAAATAACAACAACAAAAACATAATACAACAACTATTACTACTACTACTAATAATAATAATCATAAAGAAAAAGATGAAAAACTATATATAGAGTGTACTAACAGAGAGAAAGAGAGGAAAAAACAATACTCTTATGATATATGGATCTAATCTGTTATGAAATACATATTTTCCTATATATACACACATTGTTTTATACTAATATATTGTATACAGTTTTGTATATGATATGATCATCAATAATAATATAGCTATTTTTATAAAAGATTTATTTTTTCTAAGTATATATATATATATATATATATATATGTATAGGAATACTGTATTTTACTGCTATATTATTGAGATTATTATTATTATTATGTAATATAATAAAGTGAGAGTTAGTTGAGAGACAAAGTATTATATGCAGTGTTCCCGTCAGTAATGCCTTCGCTATCACTGAAAAACTAAACTTCTTATAGATTGATACCAACATTGGATAATAACAATACGGTATACAACATAAGCGCAACAAATTTAATCCCTTTCCATACTTTTATACTATTACTCAATGTTGTAAAGTGAAAGGCAGATGTGTTGTGTGGAGAGAGAGAGAGAGAGAGAGAGAGAGAGAGAGAGAGAGAGAGAGATCCTAAACCGCAAACATAACGGTGCGGCCAAAAGGCAAAGAAGCTTTAGGTTTTGCAACCGCTGGCAAAACTGATTTCGCACGTTCTCTACTGTACTACTAGTGCTAACAAAACATATATATATATAGTATGGTTTATACACATACAGTGATAAGTTTATATCATCACTGGTTACATAACAATCATCGCATAGTATAACTGATTACTGTTATGCGCTTGTATTGTGTATTAAACAGTATATACCGTATTTAATACTATACATTGAGATAATGACTACTGGAAAGTACAGGCATCACAAAAAAGCGAAGAAAAGCCACACTAATTGTCTGAGTTTTGACAACACTTGCGGTAAAGAAAAATCATAAACACATACACACATACATACACACACACACATATATATATATATATATCTATATATACACTGATAACTAAATGAATACTTTATTTAAGCCCACTTTCGGTACTTTTATTTGTACTTTACTTTTAGCATTTAACCCGATATTCTATTGTATTTTTATGACTACATAATACAGTATATACTGTACTATATATTATACTACAATATGCTAACAGTGTTGCCTAAAAGGCATTATTGTAGCAATGATTGAAATTAATCAAAAATTTTCTTATTTATGCCATGTTTTTATAGCTACAGTTATTTTCCAGTATAATATTCAATGAGTGTATGGTTTTTATTTTATAATAAAATAACAATAAAAACTAAAGCTAAAATAAAATTAAATATATAAAATGCTTTAAATAAATTAATTGATGAATCTGATGATTAATTGTTAAATTAATGTTTATGGCGTTATATTAACTAATTATTATCAAGATATATAGTTAATTTATTTTAATTATATACAGTTATTGGAGTTACGTTGGTTACTAAAATAATGTACATAAAAATATAAATTATTGAAAATGTTTCTAAATTGTAATAAAACTTTATGAGAATAAATTATTTAATATCAAATTTCACTGAATTTGATTGAATTTATTATCATTACTATTATTATATTTACTATTATTAAAATCATTGAGCTTTGCATTATATTATAACTACACTAAAAAATCTAATACATTATATGCATCGTTAGTGAAACAAAATAAAGCTCAGTATATACTTAGTATATAAAGTTTAGGATAAAAAATATTTTGCACACAATCTCTCAATAATGATGATGTGATGTTGTTGTTGTTGTTGTTAAGGCGGATCCCATACCAGTGCTCACCAACACTATATGGATGGGTAGACTGAGAGAGAGAGAGAGAGAGAGAGAGAGAGAGAGAGAGAGAGAGATCTGTGTTAAGCCACACATAAATATACAAATCTAACTATAGGAGCAAAAAATAAGTTATAACCACTTGGGATTTGATTGCTTTTTTATGCTACGCCATAGCTTATGCCTATGGTATGACATATACAACAACATCACCAGTTTGGTATGCCATACCTAACTCATGGTGAGCTTATGGATGCAAAATATGCCAATTTTTTTAAAATGCAGACAATACTGTATTACATTTAATAGTTTGCCCAAAAAAAATCTCTTTTTATATTTATTATTAGATTTTTTTTGCTTGTATTAGATTTTTATAAATAATAAGTTTATGATATATATATATAGTTACATATAGTTATAAATAAAATTATATTTATAGCTCATCACAAATATCATACAAATTTTGTATTTGTATTTGAGTCACATATAATAATTTGTCCAGGTATTTTCATAGATATTTTTTTAATCATATATCATACAAACTGTATGTACAGTTAATTTAAATTTATGGTTGTCTTTTCAAATATAATTTAAAAAAAATAATAATATAATGTATTTATTTCTATGATTATTCATCGCATAATATTGACTATTTTCTTATTAAATATAATATTTTCATTAAATGCATAATAAATTTTAAAATTGCGTTAAAAAACTAAATACTATACTTTTATGAAAAGTTACGATTGGCTTAAAATAGTTTGTTAGATAATATATTTGTTTGGCAATAGTTTTTTTTCATTGACTGTAAATAAAGCCAAAAATAGTATCACAAAAATATATATGTATAATAAATTAACTTAAAGTTTAGTGAAAAAATGCAAAAAAAATAATTAAACAAATTATTTGATTACATTAATTTAGATTTAATTAATTTAGTTTAGAATTATAGGATAAAAATATTTTAGATTTAATAACATTTATTTATTAATAGTAATTTATTTGCAATAATTTTTGTTTTAATAAAAAAAAACTATAACTAACTGATTGTTGTGATTGCAGGTGATCTTAGCTCTTCCTCGTCTTCTTCCTTATCACCCATTGGTATGTCGACCAGAGATCGGCCTTCCATTGGTGTCGACCGCAATAGTCGGCCGCCGCCTAACAGTCAGTTACCGCTACTATTTGCAGGTAATTAATTGATTAATTCAAATCTTGATGTTATTTGTAACAAAAATTGTCAAAAATTGATAATATTTTCATACAAACACATAATCCTTATTTGGATCAAATCAGGTGCCAATCCATACTACAGTCAATTGAGTCCATCGCTAGCTTCTATGTGGTCATCGGCGGCCAGCGAGTCGGCTACGGCTTTGTCATCGATGCCGTCGTCCAAACAGTGGCCAGATTTGTCCAACGCTTTGTCATTATTGCCATTTTTAAGACAGGGCACGCCGTCGGCCATAAGCGCGTGGACTGCGGCCGCCGCTGCAGCCTATGCTTCGTTGATGCCGACCCAAGCAACGGCCGGTTCTCAGGTGGACAGAGTTGCCGTCAATTCGGGAGCCAAACAACGACTGGACGATACTAACAGCGGTAGCGACGGACCTCTTAATCTCAAGAATTGTGAGTCTGTTTTTTAGATCAATCAATAGATATAAATATATTTTTAAAAACAATAATAATTTATTAATAATTTATATTTGTTTAGTTTTGAGGCATTATTATTATTATTACTGAATATTAAAGTAGATATTTTTATAAGCATTATGCGATTTAAGGCATTTTCTATAAAAGATAACAATTTATGTCTCATTTTGTATACACACATAAATATATGTATCGATAGATTAGATATACACTACAAACATAATTTAATTTCGTATCGCAAAAATATTGATATCATTAACTTTGAACTTTAATAACTTTTTTATTTTTTAACTTAAATAAACAAATTTGATATCAAATGAAAGAACACTTTTCAAAGTTTATAAGTCAATAAATAAAATTGCATTAATTATCATATTATCTATAAAAAAGCATAAGAAGTAAGAAATGGTAAAAAAAGTTATGTACAAAAAGTATTTTCGTGAAATCAAAACTTTAAATATTATTAACAAAATAAAGCTATTAATTTAGTAAAAACAATATTAATATCGAGTATTGCCTCCGTTGGCATCAATCACAGCCTGCAATCTTCTTGGAACACTTTGGATCAGCTTTTCTGTGACTTCTTCAGGTATATTTTTCCAGACATTAAATAACGACTCTTTAAACGCAGAAAAACTTTTTCTTTCGCTCTTTGGCACACGTCTGTCCAATTCATCCCATAGATGTTCAATAATATTGAGGTCAGGGCTCTGTGGCGGCCACTCAAGTGTCTCAATTTGATTGTCAGACAACCATTTCTTTGCCAATTTTGATGTGTGCTTTGGGTCGTTGTCCGCTTGAAATAAAAAATCATCGCTTATTTGTAGATCTCTGGCACTCTGAAGCAAATGTGGGGTCAAAATATCGTTAACGTAAATGTAGCGGTCCATAGTTGATGGAATTTCGACCAAATGGCCAACTTCCTGGCCTGTCATACACCCCCATACCATAACTGATTTCGAGTGCTTCACAGTTGGACATATATTATCAGGATTAATGCTTTCGCCTCTCTTTTTAAACACTCGTTGGCGACGTTTAGTACTAATAATCTCAAATTTTGACTCATCTGACCACAAGACCTTCCTCCAGTATGACATAGGCATCCGGATGTACTTTCGTGCAAAGTCTAATCGTTTTCTCTGATTTGTTAGGCTTATCATTGGACGTCTTCGCGCAATACCACTGTAATAACCCATTTCTTGAATCCGGTGTCTAATAGTGTTTCTGTGACACAAAATGTTTCTGGCGGCCAACTCTTCCTTAATCTCATCGGTGGTCAACTTCTTATTTTTTGCCACAATTCGACTCAATATCCTGTCCTGTTTAGCACTGGTACATCTTTTTCGACCACTTCTTGCGAGATTTCTAACTGTCCCGTACTTTTCGACTTTCTTTACAATTGATCGGACAGTATTATCAGTTGTTGTAAACAGTTCCGCTATTTTTGCGTATGACTTTCCGGTGCTGACTCTCATATCATACATTTGTTGGCGAATTGCATCTGAAAATTCTTGTATTTTAACCATTTTTATGATAATCACTGCATTTACTGTTTATTTACGTGTATTCAAATTAATAACAATGCATTGGAATCAATTGGTCCCAACAATGTGTCTGAAATCACGCGCGTTTTAAAAACACGAAAATAATTTTTGTACCTAAATTATTAACACCTATAACTTTACCTTGATATATTTTGTTCTTTAAACCATTGTTTTGACCATCTAGTATATCAATTTAATTGTGATTTATTACTCTATTATTTGATATCAAATTTGTTTATTTAAGTTAAAAAATAAAAAAGTTATTAAAGTTTAAAGTTAATGATATCAATATTTTTACGATACGAAATTAGATTATGTTTTTAGTGTATAGCCGACGGCTGGGTTTTGATTAAAAATAACAAAATTACTGATCATATTATCTAATATATTGTGTTGTCTTTTTAAATCAGTTGAACATATGTGAGGACAGATAGGAGTGGCACAGGGAGAGAGAAAAAGAGAGATTCTTTGTGTGGGAGAGATTGTCGGGCAAATCATATGTCAATACCTTTTGGCAATATTTTTGTATTATATAAGTTATGAATGAGTGTTACACTAAAATTTATTAATAGTATATATAATATATATATATAAAGAAAGAGAAAGACAAAAATTATTTGATAGATACACACATATTGTCTTAATATACTCCCGGAGCTAATAACATTCATACAATTTTATCATTGCCAGTTTTATCATACTAGTGCTCTGTTATCTGGCTTTAAGCAAAGTTATGTTTTTGTTTTACGCAAACTTTGATCTATTGCTACAAATTTGATACAATTGTATAAATTACTCTATAGGATGACATCCCAATGATAGATATGTAAAGTATAACATAATTATAACAAATAATTGAAAACTAAAAACAAAAATATATTTTTTTTTGTTAAAATTAAGATAAACCTATCATTTTAAAAATCGTATTTTAAGATTATTATATACAGTATTTTTTAAATGTTTAATTAGTTTGCATTACAATTTTGATTTTAATTGATGAAATCTAAATACTAGTATATACTGTATATACAGGTGTACAGTATTGTATTATTTAATAGTGGAACTACATGTATCATATGTTAGTCAAACAGTATAATCTTATAATTTATTATGGTTACATCCCTGTCCTCCCAATTTCTATAGTCAAGAGACTATACTATGCAGTATTTTATTGTTGTTGTTTTTTTATTATAATTCAATTACAGTGAAAAATCTATTTTGCATACAAATATAAACCAAACAAATATACAAAATAAATTTTTAAAAATCATAAAATATATATATACGGTATATAATGTACTTATATTATAAAGTATTATTTACATTTTAGTTTATATTTATATTTTAAAAATAAAACAATGCACACCAGAATATTCATTGTAATCCAAATACATACAGAATATGATAAATAATGAAATATATTGTTGTACTATAAAATAGATATTAAAATGTAAATTATTTATTACATGAAAATCCAAGAATCCCGAGAAATCTAATTAGTGTCATAACATTATGTTGTATTTTACATACACAGTATATATATATATTGAATTGTGATTTTATAGTATGTTATAATGCAAAAGCACAGGTATGTATTGAATACTGTATATGCGATTTTTGTGTTGCAAACTTTTTTTATGACCATATATATGATATAAAATACAATATGACTGAGTTTATTAAGTTAGACAACAACAATAAAAAATACCACTACTATTATAATTATTATTGTAAGTTAAGTTCAATGATTAATTTAACTAAGATTTTTGTTGTTGTTATAATGTTGTACACAATATAGGCCTAATTTTAGCCCTTTTATCTACTTTTATGTATAACAATCATAATAATATACAATAAACCTCTAATAATATAATTATTTTTATATACATCATTGAAATCATCAATCATATGATTGGCGTACAATTTGATTGTGTATGTATTCAAAGAAAAAAAATCTAAATATAGTTAAAAATTTATTGGGAATGAGAGCACATGTATGCAAAACTAGGGAAAGTTAGCTGACAACAAAAATCATATACAGTATATACAACTAATAACAACATTGACAACTGATTAGTTACTTTCCTCTCTTTATTGAAGACAACAATTGACAAAATTGTTTTGGCATTATATCTATCAATTGACTCTCTTTTTCTATCTCACTGTGTATTAGTCTTTTCTATGCCATCACTGATGTTTGCACTCACTTTCCCGATAGTCTCCCACTCCCTGTGCTCTCATTGCACTTGATTTTCTCATCTCTCGCTTTTTCCTCTCTTTCTGCTCTGCTCTCTGACCGCCTATCCCTGAGCTGAAGGCACTGGTGTATAGAGTGGCACTGTATCTGACTGTTCACTCGTGTGATCCTTAATATACATCCGATATATATATTGAACTGGAAATTGAGTTTACATCAGTCGAGTGCACTGCCAAATGTGATAATTATGATGACATACTCACTCACTCTCCCATTTTCATCTACCACTGCCCTAACCCACGCTTAATTGACTCGACAACATAAAGCACACACACATACATAAAATAATACATGTGCCGTATGTTACCATCATTTTCACTATCACTACACACATACCATAAATATATAATAAAGGAAATCATTTGTCGGATATGAGGAGTAGTGTAGTAGTACTATATATATGATAGCACTTAAAAGTAATTAAACGTTTAATAAATTATTATAATAAGTCACATCTCCTATAGATATATAACAATAATCATTATCATTGATAATATGATAGTAAAATAGCAGTCATAATATGGTAAATATCAATGTAAAATACATTACATTACATTTTTGAGAGATACAATTGTTTTTTAACACACATTATATTTGTAATCAAATATTAAATTGACTTCAAAGCCCTACCCATCACTCTATTGTTAACATTATTTTTATATTACTATATACACAGTATATATATGATAAACATTGTTTTTTATGTTGTTTTATATGTAATAAAATTAAAGGACCTTAGCTTTAATATCAAATATATATGATAGGATATAAAGTATAATAAATATAATACATTATATGTGATATAAATTGATATTTCGTTTATTATGTTAGAGAGACAATTAAAATAACTGTTAGTATAATATCTCTAAAATAAATACCTGAGACAAACATTATAATACTGTATTAATAGCAAGTAAAATGATTTTATGATATTTTTTTGTTGCAACAAAAATCCCATCTAATATTTAATGTAAAATTAAATATATACCGTACTATACATGTATACTGTATTATAATTTACATTATAAAGATATTATTATTATTATAATGACAATAAGTTAATGACAATATTTAATATATTGTTATTAAAAATTTTGTATTTATTATAGATGTCTAGTGTACAACCAATTACTTAACGATTCATTTAACAAGTTTTCAAACATAATAATTTAAAACTATAGCCAAACATAAG